CTTAATGATTCTGTGTGATTCTGTGAAGCAGGAAGAACAATCTTCTACAATCTGAGATCAGGTATAGAAACAATACAACTACATTTTTTTTTTTAAAGGTAGAGCAATTAATTGGTCCTGGTGGGGCTCTAACTGCCATGGAAGAACTTCACTCAACTTTTTACTATGGAGGTAGAACAGACTCTAAATACTGACAATAAATATAAACCTCTACACATCCTTCACCGTGCAAATACACCTCAGATCGCTATAATATACACCTTCAACTAAGACACAGATCTTGTAATAACTAACAATCTAAAACAGTGACAAATAGTTATCTTTCTTGGAAAGATATCAATATCTTCCAAGTGCAAAGCACATTCAGATCAACAATTAGCACCTGTAAAAATACCAACATCAGTATCAGTAGACTAGTAGTGACAGGGAATGCAGCTGGAAAACAGTAGAATGAGAGGCTGATTCAGTGCATTTGCAATTTTTCTAGATACAAGTATCTCAGAATAGGCACCTGCAGATATGCTGTCAACCCTTCCCCTCCTTCTGGCCTCCAAAATTCAAACCTGATTCAAGTCACCTAAACAATATTCAAAGAAAAAAGATGTTCGTTATAATCATAGCAAGCCTCCCCCACGCCCGTGGTTTTATTTAAAATTAAAGGATACACACACTAGATATTTACCTCTTTAACAAATAAATTTTCTGCTTTTTGTTCTGCATCTTCAGGTACAGAAGGATACAGCGTCCTGATTTCCAGTGAAATTGTGTCTGTCTGACAATAAACAAAAAAAGGCAAATTAGTCAGAGTGACAGAACAGCAGTTTTGTCTCACAAAGAGGTTAAGAACCGTATTACTATGGCTTGCATTTTTCAGTTTGTCATGCAGCCAATAGACACGCACACCAACAACTACAACCCAGCTCCTGCCCACACACGCTATTCAATGCTATCAGCTAAAGCATTAATTACAAGCAGCAGCAGCAGCGTTTGAATAGATTTTTGGGAACAAAGTTGTTCCAAGCAAACTCGCTTCAGTCTGTGAGGTTTCTGATAACAAAAGTCATGAAGTCTTCCTTACATCCTCTCCCAGAACTACACGCCAAATCCAACAGCACTACTTGCTTCCTCTGCTTCCCTTCTGCACCTCATGCCTTTTACAGCAAGAAATGTGGAAACAGAACTAAAAGCTTTGACTCTTTTGGAAGGAGAAGAGAGGAGCAGAGCAGAGAGTCCTCCCAAGAAGCTGCAGAAGGGCTGCCACAGGACAGCCTGATGGTCGGAAAGCAAGGGGAGCCAGGCAACAGCTTCTCAGTGGGGCACTTCCCTCCGCGGGTGCAGACAACTGAGCAGGACTCACGTGGGACTCCTGATGCTTCCTGCAACCTCCTTTCAGGCTCAACAGACACCACGCATATTAAGTCGTTTTTCTGAAACCAGCTCCTGACTGAGCTGGTTTGTCAGGCCCTACAGCAGGAAACCACACAGAGAAGTGGATCTCCAGAAGGTCTCCACAAAGAGCCAAGCTTCTCTTAGTTCCCACCAGGCCAACGAGAGGCCAGGGCCACCAGCAGTGCTCCTCTGTGTGACCCAGGGCCTCCATGCTGAGGACAGGCATGGCAGCCACTTTGCAAAAGTCACAAAAAGGGGAAGCTTTGCCATATTTTGAATTAATCCACAAATCAGGCCCCCTCATTTTCTCTGCCGTAAGAGGGGGAAAACGAACATAACCAAACCCCAGATGACCAGGTTATGCTCTCAGTTACCGTGGAGTAACTCCACCACTCAAGACAATGAAGGACTGAAACCAAGACAAATCTGATTTCCCAAGCTCATTTCTCTTCCCTTACGGAAAGGCACATGATTTCTGGAAGAAGGCCTATGGCATACGACTAGTTTAGTATGAAGAACCACTACTTACTAACACCATGAAGCAGCCTGAAGTATCTACTGTATGCCCCTGGAGGATCTTCTCCCAATCCCCAGTGTCAGGCTGAAAAGTGATGTTTTTTCTCTACCAGCTGAAGCATCCAGACTCTATGATAGACAATTGCTTGGATATTATTGACTGCATTTTTCCTTACAGCTTACACAGATCACACTAATTCCCCCCCCATCACTTTCCATTTGAGTAATTATGAACGAAAGGCATGTACCACTCACGCAGATGAAAACGTCATGGGATTCCCCAAACTTTTTCTGTTTCAACTGCACAGCTCAGGATACAGCATGACTTAAACACTTTGTCTCCCACAAATAACAATGGTGCCTCATAGACACCACAAAATGAAAAAAACCCTGTTGTACTGACAAACTAAGTGCAGTTTCCTAAATGCGGGTTCCTGGGCTCCACCCAGCTGTACTACCAAAGCCTGTGTACATTGGAGATTTACACAATCATTTAGTCTATGAGTAAAAAGAGACAGTGGATAGAGAAGTATGAATTTTCAGGCCACATTTAGTAATAGTGAAGATGTCTGAATCCTTGGTTGCTTAGGGACTTCCCAGCAGCACCCACAGTCTCTGGAACACACTTCATTACTTTTACTTCACACATACGTGACATTTTAAGTGCCTTTTTTTAAGCAGTCCCGAGAAGACACAATCCCAGAGCACAGCTGAAAAACCATGCTGCCCCTGAGGTCCATCATACAGGGTTCTTCCCAGGTCTGGGGTCCCACCGCCAGCAGCAGCCGCCTCAAAGCACGCACACCGTCCTTCCATGGTTTCACCACTGCTGAAGATCAGCTGCTCTTTCCAGACTAAGGCAGCATGGGAGGCCACAAGAGAGGAGACGTGTGATGCACCGTGTACCTCACACTGACCCTGTTGGGATGGTGACTAAGCTGCAGCCAGACCAACAACCTCTTCTGCTGGCCCATAACAAACTTACTTGCCCCATGTATTATGCAGAAGACAGTTTCCAGTATTTTTATTTTTAGTTAAGACACATAGCAAGTAAAATTTTTTACCTAATACAACGCTTCTTGTCAACTGATAGCAACATGTGGATCAAGACAGCTAACTTTTGCCTTAAAGGGGTCATTATGCCTCCCTTCCCTTACACAGCTTGTTAAAAAGACTGTAGCTGAACAAGACACATAACTCAAGCCCACTGTTTTGCCTGTGATATGCTCTCCTACTTTCCTTCTCAACAAGACTGCACTTGCAAGAAAGAAACACAGCTGTGCAAAACAGAGAAATCGGGTAGCACTGGGCTTGTCACGTTTGCAGGCTTTGCCAAAGAATATCACAAGCTTACTTACATAGAATTGGGGCATGGAAAATCTTGTGTATTGTTATATTTAAACTTGTTTTAAAAACTACAAAGCACTTCCCTTCTGAGAATTAGTTATGTTCAACCACTTAGCTGCAAAAGCCTTGCCACAAAGACACTTCCTGTTCATAGTTGATTACTTCCAAAGTTAAATGCTCTTAAAGGCTGATCAGGCATAGCATGTATTCACCAAAACCTTTTTACTTCAGAAAATAACTAAATTTCAACAACAAAGTGCTTTTGCAAAGGTCATCAAAAAATGCAGGATTTTATTTACAGAATTGAGCATTTATATATGTGCTTTGATTGCAGTCTAATTTTCTAATGTATGGGCAATCATAGCAATTGTCTGTTCAAATCAAAGGCCAACTATCTTATAATCTGTGCATGCAAACTGTGATTATCAAATAATGCAGGTATCAGCTTAAAACATTAAATTCCATAATTCTTCTGAATTACTTTTAAAATCTATTTTATATAAATATCCTATATCCAACAATGATTTCTGGCATTCAGACAGGCTGTCTGATTTGCATAAACTTTTGGCCCCAGGTGTTTGATTAGTTATAAGGTGCAATTTAATTAAGCGCCCTCTCTTTCTACATCCACTCTCTACAGTGAAAGCCACAAGTTAATATTGCTCCTTATCAACAACTGATTAGGAATAATATTTTCAGACAGTGCCTACTTCCCACTGACACGGTGAGTTTAGTATTGGAAAAAGGAGTTCAAACTCCATTAGCTGTTTCAAACATTTTCATTCTGAATCCATTCTAATAGCTTTTAGTCTGAAAGCATGTTACCAGTGGTTAAATCTTTAGACAGATGCATCAAAACTGATTATATTTACTTCCCGAACAGGCAGCCCTTCTAAGAGAGCTAACCGCACACAGGCAGAAATGTTCCTGTATGTTAATGCTTAGATTCAATCTCTCTAAAGAAACGCTGCTCAGCCCCATTTTCATCCAAGTAAACAGATTTACTTAACATTACCAAAAACTGTAATGAGTTAGGCAATCAAATTAAAAAGCAGAGTAAGATGCAACTTTGCTGTACAAATACCACTGTGCAAATGCTGTCACTATACGGGGCTCCTGACAGGCTGCTGTCTGCTGTCCCAGCACAGACCTCACTGCGGAGGTATGTGCATGGGGGCAAAGCAAAAGGAAAGCAAGCACAGAGCACATTTAAAGGACAGATTTTGCCCCATCGCTCACCAGATGACGTTCGGTGTGAGAGGCTATGCTTTGCCCACATAGCATTTGCTTGGCTCACTGCATTGGCTCTATTTAAATAGCCAGAGTGCATCCCTCTAAGTCTAGATACCTCTGGCTTTCCTGCTCCTCCCAGATGATGCGAACTCACACATCAAGGATACCCACATCCCATTAATCATGAGAATAATGGACTCAATTTCTGCTCCTCTAAGGTTGAGCTGATACTGCCTATCACGTGGGAAAGCGGGAGAGAAGTCATGTGCTATTGAAAATAACACAAGATCTCACCACTGTAAGTCTTCTGACCTTAGAAATAAGAGTCAGATCTACAGGGTTACTTCCAAGGAGGCTCTAAGTCCTGTGCTTAGAGCTGCCCCTATGGCACATGTGCTGTTTGATGCAAAGAGGCAGTGGTGTTGCCTACTCTTGCCCTCCCCCCTTAAAGATGCATCAGGTTCTGTTGTGAACTTCTGTATCCAAACGAACAATTTTTGTCCATGTGCAACACCTAGATAGCAGAGGTTTCACAATTTGAAAAATAGGGAGATTTTGGCTCTTCCTTGTTCAGAGCTAAAATAAAAGAAGCCTGGAAACAGTCACACCTGCAGTGATGGAGAATATCAGCACTGCACAACTCAGCCCCTCTTTGGAGGGCACATGGGTAGGCTTTCAAAAGCCCAGAAGAGCCAGGAGCACATGTCAGACTGAACTTCCACAGGTTTTGCATTACACAAGTAAGCTTTGCCATCTTACACCTGTCCTAAATTTAGGCAATGCATTATTATTTCTATTGCCGGTTCAAATCAGACATTCAGCCATATTAATACAATTACTTTAAGGAAGTCTAACTTTGACTTTTCAAACAGAGATTTAAAAAATAGTACGTGGAGAAAGGAGGAGGAACAAATTTTCAGGACTCAGAGAGTTTAACATGCTTTTATACCATACCAAATTGAAGTACCCATTAAATACTTTCAGTTACCTTTTTATGACAATAAACTTACATTTATCAACATGTTGTTAACATATATTTAGTTACTAAACCTCCACACAAGCAAAGGTGTTTGCAAAGGGGTGCTGAGCCTGTTGCCACTAAGGAAGGGCACCAATGTTTCTACGCAAGACTTGAGATCCTCGAGAGATTTGAAGAGACTGAGGAGGGTTCAGTGAATTTCCGAAGGATGGTGACAGAAAGAAAGGACATACTTATGACTTTCATAAGTCATACAGCAAGCATTTTGCTTGGATACATGAAGGTACTTAGGTGCACAAGTACAAACTTATGACAACAAATCTGTGCAAGACTAAGATGCAAAAGGTTAAAGGTGAGAGGGACTAATCTGAAGGAGGTTGTCACACTTTTTTCATGGCCTCCTTTCCACCAAACAAGCAGGAGAAAAGTGAGAAATAGGAAGGCCAGCCAGCAGCAGTTCCAGTTGTTGAGAGTGTGGCCAGGTCTGGGGAACAGAAGGTGAATAGAGCACATTACCCCAAAGGTGAGGATGCAAACCTGTCAGCATCACCACCAAGCACGTATTTTTGTAAGCGCAACAGGAAGCCCATCAACTCCCACTTACTACCACCAAGAAATACAGTGCAGGCTCGCACTCTTGTGATAGGGAGCTCCTGTGAAGCTCTGCAGATCCTTCTTCCACACAGTTGCTGCACTGCTGCAGAAATGTCCGCTGGCTATTATTTCACAGCACAGCAACAGAATGGTAATTTGTTCACAGGATCCAGGAGCAGGTGAAAAATGAAACTGAGATGACATGCTTTTGCTCAAAGGGACAAAGGAGGAGAGTTAGCAAGCAAGGCACTGCCAGGCAAACCAGAAGTGGAACTGATGTGTATCGTCGATTTTATTTTTTTAAAAAAGGATTATTAAGCACAGTTACAAAAAGTGAAGCATCTTTTCCCCAGCTGAAGTAAAACCAGAGACTGCATCTTTGTAATGTATACATCTTGTATTCTTCTGCTGAAATGCAGGGAAATGGAGGAATACAGTCTATAAGGTTCAAATTGATATCAAGAATTCTTTGCTGTTCCACAGACTTCTCGTAAGATGTTGGAAATGACCAACAGAAGTCTTATGAGAATAACCGTATTTTCTTTGAATTGCATTGGAAGAGAGAAAGCAATTCAGAGACGAAACAGAAGACCAGATAGTGCAGCAGCTATGATGATAATTGACCCGTATCTGATGCATGTGGTGAATACTACAGATCCAGAAATGGGAAATCATTATCAAAAGCAGAACCTTCTCTCATTCTCTCTACCTCAGCTAATTCTTTTGGTGGGGTTTCACTCTGAAGAGACTTTGCTCAATAGGATGTGCTACCACACAGGCCCAAACTGGGGCTGCAACCCTGAGCCACAAAGTCTGAAGCAACTGTAATCATTAGGAGTTAAACAGTAACGTCCACCATTTCCTGGGGCATTATCACATTAAATAACACTCAGAGCCAGCCTGAGCACCTCCTAATTCAGTCAGACCTGGATCTCTTTCTACTCAAATGGCTGACCCAGACTTTTGTGCATAGGTAGTATTTCAACAGAAAGGATCAGGGCTATAAATAGATGCTCTGCAGCTGAAAAACCTATCTGCTATGAAAGCTCTGCCGTCCTGTCTGGTGGCACAGGCTCTCGTTACTGCAGCTGACTTCAACAGAAGATAACAGAGACAGGTTTATTGTGAGGATATGGACCCTACCTACCACTGCTTCTGCTCTTCTACAAGTACAGGCCACCCCTACTAGCAAGCACCTCTCTCATCTGTCTTAATCTTTTTTTTCCCCCTTCTTTTTTTATTTAAATCAATTATACAGAATAGTTGCAAAGCATAACACAGAGGGAACAAAATAGAAATAGCTACTAAAAGCCAGGCACCAACTGCTCAAAATGAAATGAAAATAAGGATATGAAAATATAGCTTGAGAGGCAGAGGCCTTGAGCAGGACATGACTCCTTTGCTGAAAGGGTTTGCTCCACCAACATGAGCTCAGTTATTCTAAATCAAGGGGCTCAAGGGCCTTGTGACAGCACACAGTATGTCTAGTCAGCTTTATAACGCTAAATTTCAATTTCATAAATTCACAAATGTGCGAAATGGATAAAGGAATTAACGATGATGAGGAAATCTATTCTGTTTAGTTTTCTCTCAATCCCATGAGCACATTAACTCAATTAACGCCACCAAGGAAATAGAGCCATTCAGTAAAACAAAGCAGTCAATTAGATGAAGCTGGCCCCACAGGACAGCAGCAGTGCCATGAGCTGATGGGAAGGACCCTCACACAGCAGCTACAACTGGTCACAAATTGAAATGTTATTTCCATTAGAGAATGCCTAGTCATCAAAATCTAAATCTTTTGCAGAAATCGGTTGATTCTGAAGTTGCTATAAGATGCAACTGCCAGCTGACTCGCCTGGCAGCATTCCTCCCCAGCCGCTGGGCAGGCAGCCCCTGCCCTCCCCAGCTGCCCCATTGCTGTCGCGGTGAGGGCTGCCCTGCGCTTCCACGTTCTCAATTTCTTTACAGCTTGCCAGGACACGCAACGGGGAACCCGGGATGAGGTCAGGCAGCTCCACAGCCGCAGGCTCCGCTATCCACTGCCTGTCAGCATCCCACCACGGAAGCCCACCTCAGGACTGGAGATTCTGCGCCCCCCATCACTGAGGATGCCAGATCTCAAACCCCACTGAAGAAAAATTTAAGACAACCCCAAAACCAAACAAAAATCAAGTCTATTTGGACTTATGTTTCTTGTGCGATCTAATGTCAGCAATGGCACAACTTGGAAATAAGACACAGCCACTGTCTAAAAAGTCTGATTTTGAGCAGAAGACTGGGAGTCATGGGCTGACTCTAGTGGCCAAATGCAGGATAGGATCAGAAAGACTAGATGTAAGTTACGGAAGTGTGATTAAATTAGATTATAATATTAGG